TTTTGGGTTGTTGTGAGTTTGTTTTCATTTGTTTCCAGAAACGTTTTGATTTCTTCCCTAATTTCATTCTTGAGCCATTTGTTGTTTAATAGCATACTATTCAGTCTTCATGATTTTGGGTGCTTTGGGTTTTTTCCTTTGTGGTTGGTTTCCAACTTGAGTCCCTTGTGGTCAGAGAAAATGCTTGGTATGATTTCAATTTTCTTGAATTTTTTGAGGCTCGTTTTATGTCCTATCATGTGGTCTATTTTTGAAAATGTTTCATGTGCATTTGAAAAGAATGTGTATTTAGCTTCTTTGGGATGAAGGGCTCTATATATATCAGTTAGATCCATTTCATCGAGGGTGTTGTTTAATACCACAATGTCTTTGTTGATATTTTGTTTGGAAAATCTGTCCATTTTTGATAGTGGGGTGTTAAAATCCCCTACTATAATTGTGTTGCTGTCAATATCTTTTTTGAAGTCCTCTAAGATTTTCTTGATATATTTGGGTGCTCCTATGTTTGGTGCATATATATTTACAATGTTAATGTCTTCTTGGTGGATTCTTCCCTTGAGTATTATGAAGTGACCTTCTGGGTCACTCTTTATGGCTCTTTTTTTGAAGTCTATTTTGTCTGATATGAGAATTGCTACCCCAGCTTTTTTTTCTTGTCTGTATGCTTGGAAAATTTGTTTCCTGCCTTTCACTTTTAGTCTGTGATGGTCTTTTGTCCTGAGGTGGGCCTCTTGTAGGCAGCATATGTGTGGGTCATGCTTTCTTATCCATGCAGCTATTCTGTATCTTTTCATTGGAACATTTAATCCATTTACATTTAAGGTTATTATTGATAGGTACTTATTCATTGCCATTTTTGTACCTCTGTTCCTCTCTGTCTCCCTCTTATCCTTCCTTTGCTTAAAGCAGTCCTTTTAGTATTTCTTGTAGCACTGGTTTGGTGGAGGCATATTCTTTTAGACTTCTTTTATCTTGGAAGCTCTTTATTTGGCCTTTTATCTTGATTGAGAGCCTTGCTGGGTGAAGTAGCCTTGGTTGTAGGCCTCTGGTTCTCATTACTTGGAATATTTCTTGCCATTCTCTTCTTGCTTGGAGTGTTTCCATTGAGAAGTCAGTAGGTAGCCTTATTGGGGCTCCCTTGTATGTTACTTCTTTTTTCTCCCTTGCTGCCTTTAAGATTCTCTCTTTGTCTAGGAATTTTGCCATTTTGATGATGATGTGTCTTGAAGTGGCCCTCCTTGGGTTCCTCTTGGTTGGGACTCTGTGTGATTCCTGGATTTGTGTGACTTTTTCTGTCATCAAATTAGGGAAATTTTCTCTCATTACTCTTTCAAATATGTTTTCTATCCCTGTTCTTCTTCTTCTCCTTCTGGTATTCCTATTATTTGGATATTATTACGTTTCATATTGTCTTGCATTTCTCTTAATCCCTCTTCATTCTTTCTGAGTCTCTTTTCCCTTTCCTGTTCTTTCTGTGAGATGCTTTCTACTTTGTCCTCCAACTCACTAATCTGATCTTCTGTCTCATCTACCCTATTTTTAATGCTTTCTACTGTGTTTTTCAATTTAGATATTGTATTCTTCATTTTCTCTTGTCCCTTGCTAATAATTTCCATTTCCTTTTTCACGTTGATATAGTTCGTGGTGAGATCATTATAGCTCCCCTGTAGTTTCTGGTAGCTCATTGTGAGGTCTTTGAACTTCCTGATAACCAGTGCTTTGAATTCAGTATCTGATAGTTGACTTGCCTCTATTTCATCTAACATTTTTTTCTGAGGGTTCCTCCTTTCCTTTCATTTGGGGATTGTTTCTTTTTCTTCCCATTGTTTTTGAGACTCTTCTTGTTAGTCTCAGCTTCTTAGATTAATCTATTTTGACACCCTGGGTTTATGGTGTGAACTTTTGTGGTGGAATGCCTGTGAATTTCAGTGGTGCAGTCTCTTTTGGTTATCTTGTCGTTCTCTGCTTCCACCTACTCAAATATGCAGCAACTTTTGTCTTCTCTCCTACAGCAAAGTGCAATTTGTCTCTCTGACTCTAGTATTGGGAGGCCTCTTGTATGGGTCCAGCTCTGGTCTTTTCATATTTTTAAGTTGATTGTGACTCTTCTGGTTCCGCCGTGACCGTCGAGGTTTCTGGTCCCTTATTTTCATGTATGCTTGGCAACTGCTGGCTTGCTGGCTTCTCCTCCTCTGATTGGACAGTTTTCTCTCCCTTTTGCACTAGGAACTGGTATCTGCTTTGTCCTACTCCATCACCATCTTGAAAGCCTCTAGTTTTTCTTTATTTGCATTTCCATATACAATTTCAAATCAACTTCTCAATTTCCACACACATGCACACACACACATACACTCACACACACACACAAACTCCTGGAACTTTTGATTGTGATTGCATTGAAGTTATAGATCAATTTGGAGACAGTTGCCATCTTAATAGTACTGAGTCTTCTGATCTATGAATACCTTATATCTCTGTATTTATTTAGGTCTTCTTTAAGTTTTCTTAGCAATATTTAGTAGTTTTCCATGACTAGGTCACACAGATTGTTTTTTGAATTTATGCCTTGGTGTTCCAATTTTTTGATACTAGAATAAATGATCTTTTTTAAATTTAAATTTTCTTTTTTATTTTATTTTTTATATATTTTTAAATTTTATTTAGTTATTTAAAAAATAACTAAATATTTTAGTTATTTTATTTAAATATTTCAAGTACAGTTTTTTGTCTATTTATCCCATTTAAGCCCCTCCTGCTCCATGCCCCCTATCTCCCTCCCATTTCCTCCCCCCCAGTCCTCATCCCTGTGTCTTTCGTACTTGTTCCTCCAAATCCCTCCCTTTTCCCCCTTAAATTCCCTTCCCTCTCTCCTCTGGTCACTGTCCCCTTGTTCTCTATTTCAGTGTCTTTGTTTTTATTCTGCTTGCTTGTTTGTTTTGTTGTTTAGCTTCTCGTTAAAGGTGAGATCATATGGTATTTGTCTTTCAACACCTGGCCTATTTCACTCAGCATAATGCTTTCCAGTTCCATCCATGTTGTTGCAAAGGGTAGTAGCTCCTTCTTTCTCTCTGCTGCATAGAATTCCATTGTGTATATGTACCACAATTTTTTGATCCATTCATTTACTGATGGGCACCTAGGTTGCTTCCAGCTCATGGGTATTGTAAATTTTCAATTGTTTTTTGCTGCAATATGCCAGTACAATCACTTTCTGGATCTTACAACCTTGATACACTCATTTACTAGTTCTAGTTGCTTTTTAAAATAAATTTCTTAAGATTTGTACCTAGAAAATCATGTCATTTGTGAATAAAGAGTGTTTTAATTCTTTCCAGTTTCAATGTGTCCTTTCTCCCTTTCTTGCTTTACTTTACTCGCTAGGACTTCCAGTGCAATGGTGTAAAGAAATAGTGAAAACAGACATCTTTCCATCATTTTCATCTTAGACAGAAAGCAGTCAGTCTTTCACCATTAAGTTTAATCTTAGCTGTAGGTTTTTTAACAGATGCCCTGTTCAGGTTGAGGAGGTTCTCTTTCTTATTCCTAGTTTGCCAAGAGTTTTTGCTGTGACTTATTGTTGTATTTATGTTAAGTGCTTTTTTGTATCCATTAAAATGATTATACCTAAGTTTCCTTTTAAGTCTTTTAACATGGTGAGTTGAATTAATCTATTTCCAAATACTCAGCCATTTTGTATTCTTGGGATAAACTCCATATGTTATTTATTATCCTGTTTCTATGTTCATGAGAGCTGTTATTTGTTATTTTGTTATACTATCTTTCTATTCCTATAAGCCGTGAGTGATTTTATATCTGGTAATACCTTATAGAAATTGTTGGGACATATACCCTCCTTTTTCTGAAAATTTCTGTGTAGAATTTGTATCATGTCTTTCTTGAATCCTTGCAAGAATTAACTGGCAAATCTATCTGGGTCTTGAGTTTCCTTTGTGGGAATTTTTAAAAACTACAAGTTAAAATTACTTAATCAATATAAGACTATTCTTCTTCTATTTGTTTTTGAGTAAGTTTGGTTAGTGTCTTTCAATGAATTATCTTTCACTTAATTTTTCAAATTTATGGGAATTATTTGTAATATATCTGTATCGTGTTTTTTAAAATGTTGACACTATTACAGTAGTGTCAACAGTACAGGGAGTGGGAGTGATGTCCTCCTTGCCTGCCTCCATTCTTCCCCCACCACCTTCCCTCCTGCTGTCACCACACTGTTGTTCATGTCCATGAGTATATGGTCTTCAGCAAATGCCTTCACATTTTTTGATCTGGTCCTTGCCTCCCCTCTCCCCTCTGACAGCTGTCTGTCCATTCCACACATCCATGCCTCTGTTTTTGTAAGGCCTATAGTGACATCTCTGTTTTCATTTCTGAAGTTTCTGACTTGCAGTATCCTCTATCTTTTAAAAAAATTATTAACAGATTTATTAATTACATTGCTCTTTTCAAAGGAAACAAGTTTGGATTTCATTGATTTTTCTCTGATGGTTTTCTGTTCACAATGTCATTTATTTCTCCTGTTATTTTATTTTTAAATCCTAATTTGAGGATATGTTTATTGATTTTAGAATGACAGAAAAAGAGAGAAGAAAGGAGGAAGAGAGGGAAACAGTAGGGGAGAGAGAGAGAAATATTGATGTGAGAGAGAAACATTGACCAGCTGCCTCCTGGATGAACCTTGACCAGGGATAAAACCTACAACCTAGGTATGTGACCTGACTGGGAGGACACTTCAACAAACTGAGCCACCTGGCTCTGGTTCTTTCTTCTTTTTTAATGGATTTGGTGCTATAAATTTCCCTGTACATACTGCTTTAGCTTCATTCTCCAAATTTGATATGTTGTATTTTTCATTTTTTTAAGTCAAAAATATTTTCAAATTCCCCTTGTGATTTCTTTGACTGATAGATTATGTAGAAGTATGCTATTTGGTCTGAGGCCCCAGCTGGAATTGTGCAGGTCCTGCTTGGGCAGCTGCAGATATGTGCAGGATGTCCTCAAAGAAGGAAACTTCATTTGCCAAGGGCACATTCTGGGTAGTGAGGAGAGCAAACCTGGTTCTGCTCAGGCTGTTGTTGAACAGCAGTTGGGTAGATGGGGACTGCAGGAACAGTTATGGCATCATACTACTCATGGTCACCTCCTATGCCGGTCACATAGGTGGTGTGATAGAACTCATTCTCCAAGGAGTGGATATCAATCTCCAGTCATGTAAAACTGCCTTGTTCTTTGCTGCCCAGCAAGGCTATAATGTTGCCATGAGATTTCTCTTTGAATTTGGAGCATCTACAGAAGTTAGGACCAAAGGTAGGTGTGCTGCCCTATTGATAAGTCAGTATGGGCACATACAGGTAGTTGGTACCTTGCTGAAGCATGGAGCCAGCATCCATGAGCAGATTTATGATGGAGCCACTGCACTGTTCCTGACTGTTCAGGGTGGTAACTTGGGTGTTACTCAATTATTGTTGTTCTCAGGAGTAAAAGTCAACCAGCCAAGGTGGGGAAAAAACAGTGCTGCTCTGGATTTTGCCTCTGATGGGCCACAGCAAGGTGGTAAGGGTGATGCTGTCTGCATGGAGCAACATCATGATGCTGCCCAATACAATGGTAAACAGTATCACCGAAAGCAGCCATCAAAGTGACCCAGGGAGGTGAGTGGAGACCCACATGTAAGAGCTTTAAACATAAGTCTCTTAGAAGAAAACATAGGAGCAAATAGTCATAATCTTGGGTTGTGACACTAAAAGCACAAGCACCACCAATAAAACATACACAAATTTGATTTAATAAAATTTTAAAACTTTTGTATACTATCTTAATAGGTCACAATAACAAATAGAAAAGACAACCTCTAGAATAGGAGAAAATATTTACAAATCATTTATGTAATAAGAATCTAATATCCAGAATTTATAAAGAAATTTTACAACTTACCAACAAAAAGACAAATAATCCAATTCATAAATGAGCAAAGAACTGAAACAGAACTTCTCCAAAGAAGTTATAAAAATGGCTCACAGGTATATTTGCCCAACATGTAAATCAAAATCACAAAGAGACACCATTTCACACCTGCTCAGATGACTATAATTTTAAAAAATGAAAGTAACTTTTGGCAACCATGGGAAAATTGAAGTCCTCATAAATTGCTTATAGGCAATGTTCTGCCTAAAAAATGGTGCAAGCACTATGGAAAAGAATTTGGAGTTTCCTCAAAATGTGTAACATAGAATTACTGGATAATCTGTGTCTTATTTCAGCCTCTATATAACAAAGTACCCTAGGCTGGGTGGCTTACAAACACAGAAACTTCTTTCTTTTTAAAATTTTTTTAAATTTAATTATTGTTCATGTACAGTTTTCTGTCTTTTACTCCCATTCCAGCCCACCCCCCCAGTGCTCCCCACCTCCCTCCCATTTCTGCCCCCTTTAGTTATTGTCCACATGTCCTTTATACTAGTTCCTGTAAATCCTTCCCCCCTTTCTCACAGTTCTGGAGGATAGGGAGTCTAGGAGATCAAAGCTTTGACAGGTTCTGTGTCTGGTGAGAACTTATTTTCTGATTCATAGGAGACTGTCTTCTTGCTGTCTCCATTCATGGCAGAAGGAACAAGGGAACTGTCTGGGGTCTCTTATTTAAGGTACTAATCCCATTCATGAGGACTCTACCCTCAAGACCTAATTATCTCCAAAAGGCCATGCCTCTAAATACCATCACACTGGGGATTAGATGTCAACATATTAATTATTTGGGGAAACAAATATTCAGTCTATGGCACCCAACAATTCCACTTCTAGGTATATACTCAAGTTACATAAAACATATATGTCCACACAAAAACTTTACACAAGTGTTCATAGCAGCACTATTCATAATAGCCAAGAGGTACAAACAATCCAAACATCCATCACTTGATGTATAGATAAACAAATGTTTCCTTATAATGAGATATTATTCAGCCATAACTAGGAATAAAATATTGATACATGGTGCAACATGGATGAATCTCCAAAATATTATGGTATGTGAAAGGAGCCAGACATAAAGGTTATACACAGTGTATTATTCCATTTACATATGCAGAATAGGTAAACTCATACAGACAGAAAGAAAATTAGTGGTTGCTAGGGGCTGGGGAGAGGGCAAAATGGGGAATGACTGCTTAATGGGACAGGATTTCCTTTTGAAGTGAGAAAATGTTCTAGAGAGTAGTGAGGGTTTCACGTTGTGAATGTACTAAATGCCACTGAATTGCATACTTTAAAATGGTGAATATTCTATGAATGTTGCCACAATAAATAAGAAAGGCTTGCTGATGTACAGAATGTGGGATGAGAGTGTGAAAGGGAATCTTCTGAGGTTTTTTTTTTTTGAAGTTATGGACTGCGGGGGCCTTGAGCACTCACTGTTTCAGTCTCCATAGCATCCTTTCTCTCTCTCTCTCTCTTTTTTTTTTTTGTCCAGGCATGCTTATTCTCACTCCAGGGCCTTTTTATCTGCTCTTCCATGTGACTGAAATAAGCTTCCTCCAAATCTTGGCCCAACTGCTGCCCTCTCCATTCATGTCTCAGCCATGCCAACACCTTCTCACTCTTCCATAAGACTGATTGGCTCCCCCTCATCTCCTTGGGGTCACAAACCTATGGGCACTCACTATCATGCCAACCAGTTCAGAGCTTCAGAACACTGATCACATCTCATATTTTATTGATTTGATCACTTGCTTATTGTCTTTATCCCTTTAGCTCAAATGTTTACTTGACTTATTTACACCACATCCCTGATATTGAGCATATGGTGTGCTCTCAGTAAAGACTTGTTGAACAAATAAATGAATGAAACTCACCTGGAAAAGTCAGGAAAAAAAATCCAGTCTTGTTTAAGTGATTCAAGTAAAGCAAAGATAGCAGCAGTTATTATCTGTCTATAGGGGGAAGTGATGTGATTATATATATATATATATAATCTCCTAAATTTTAGACTTGGAAATTTATTATGGTGCGATAATCTCATCCATTAACCTGCTACCCACCAGGGCCATACATCAAAGGGAGCTGTCAGTTTTCCTCTTAAAATTCACTGAAGCCTCCCACCTTCATGCCCCACTCCAGGATGGCATCACAACCTCAGGGCCCACAGATACTACTTGCCATGACCTAAATGTGTCCAGGTGTTGACAACCTGCAAAGTGACATTCACATTAAGCCACCATTTCTATTCCCTTCATCTGCTCACACAGCACTCTATTTTTCTTGTAAAAATCTTCTTGCTCCAATACTTGGATGTCCGCTAAGAAGAAACTCACTCATAAACTTAACCTGTGGCTACAGTCACCACTCACTGTCTGCTGTGTTGACTCTTCTCTGTTCTGGTTCCCCCTGGTGTCCATAAGTCAACTGTGTAAGCTCCATGAGGGCCATAAGTTAGGTGCCTGGCCTGTCATGAGATCTCTGGATGCTTCTCAAATTTTTATTTCTGAATTTTATGTATGCAGAGGTGGCTCACCCCCACTGGTTGTTGAAGAGCAAATGATTAAATATAACAAGTATAATCTCCTTCCCCTTTGGCAGATACTCAGTTGTTCAGTACCGCTTGCAGTAAAAATGACCATGAAACCAGTTCAAGTCAGCAAGACTTGGTTGGAAGAGGTCACTGAGAGAGAGGGTGTGAATGCCTACTGACTATCAAGCTGGACATGAGGTCATGCACATAGGCTGTTACTCAGCCTTCTTTGTTCTAGCCAGGTCATCAACTAATTAGACAAGGCCCACCACATTAAGGAGGACAATCTGCTTTGGTCAGATGTTAATATCATCCAGGAACACCCTCACAGACAGACCCAGAACAATACATCACCAAATATCTGGGCACCTTGTGGCCCATTCAAGTTACCATACAAGATGAACCATCCCAGAAATGAAGGGCACCTACTGCACAAGGCATACAACACAATGCTAACTAGGATTTCTGTGTGTAAGTTGGTTAAGAGCACCTTGGTTTGCATCTAGCCTCTCTTGTGTTCTAGTGAAATATTTTTGGTAAAACTATTTAGCTTCTCTCAGCCTTCACTATAAAATGCAGGTAATGGAAGGAACCTACATCATAGGGCTGTTTGGTGCATTAAATAACATAATACGTGGGAAGTTCATAGCACAGTCCTAGACACGTTTAAGTGTTCAATTATAGTTGTTATTATCATTATTATTATATTATGCATTGTGATGTCATGCATTGTGCCAGTTATCAGTGTATTTTCCCTCAGCTCCAAAGTCAGTCTTCAACACTTGCTCCTCCATAATAAACAGGACTTCATAAACATTTCTCATTCATTCTGAGCACGATGCTGAGCTTTTTCAGTAGAGGGTGCTGAAGGCACTATAGGAGAAGACTTCTCACTCTTCTGCCTGCCTCACCATGGATCAGCGCAGCAGATATGAGGAGCAGCCTGGGTACCATGGGTCAAGTGATGGAATTCTCAGACTCTCGGGGAAGCTTTGGGACCCAGGGAAGTTTTCTCTGCCCTCAGGAAGAGTCAGTTCAACTCTTCCTAAGCTGATTTTAGGTGATGGTGCCCCTAGTGGTGAGTGATCCAACTGCAGTGGAGGGAGCTAAACTGGTTCAGAAACCCAAGCAAGCAAGCCCTGGTCCCATCAATGCCCACATCCCTGTTGCTGTTAAATAAAATACCATTGAGTCCTTTATCTTGGCAGAGAATCTCCAGATTTTCAAAGAAAGGCCAGCACAGGTGAACTTTCCAGACTCAGTCCTTGGCTGGGAAGGAAAAGGTGTGAGTTTTGAAAAATGGCTCCCCAGGGTTAGGCTTAGGCACCCCACTTATTTAAAGTACTCCGGTTACCTTAGGGGGAGAAGCAGGGGATCAGTCTCTTAGGCTCTGAGGTCATTATTCTGGCTGTTTCTCACTTGCTTTGTGAACTTGGGCAAAGCCCTCTCTAGCCTTGGCCTTCGCTGTGATAAAAAAAAAATTCTAGGGTAGTGAGGCAGGCCAATAAGATCAAGCAAGCAAAGCCCAAAGACCTTGGCACAGTGCCTGGCAAATAGTAGGTCCTTGATATATGGTAATAATAAACATTTTTTTGTTTGTTTTCTACGAAGCAACCATTTTGCATTCTCTGGGCTCCTGGGGGATTCACCACACCCTCACTGGAGATAATGGGGTAATGAGGTTGTGATTGAGGCTCCCCTCCCACAGGGGTGTGTCCCAGGCCAGACCAACTGTATGCCTAACCATGTTTTTTACCAGGTGACTATTACTGAGAGTCTCCCTTTCTGGCCTTCCAGAGCTGCCTTGATTTCATACCATGTTCTAGTTTTTCAGGCTCCTGTGGATTCTGAGAATACCTGGTAGATACCCATTAGCTTTCCAGTTTATTCCCTTTTGTCCAAATTAGCCAAAACCGGCTTCTGTGGCTTATGAGAAAAGATACCAGACACCTGACAAATGGGAAAAAGGGGGCTATGGATTCACTAATGCAGGGAGAGGGTACACTCTGAGCTGTTCTCAATCCTTCTGAAAGAAGGACTGAATGCTGGTGGTGTCAGGGATGGCTTTGGGGGCAGGATGGCAAATCTTTAAAGTAGACTTGTTCATGCCATTCCAGCCAAATTGGACTCCTTGCAATTTGGCACACTCAGT